AAGTAGCCCACTATCCAAAATAATACCCTGTAAGTGCTGGTACTGTGGAAAGCATGGTAACTCAGATCAATGAGAGGCAGCTGAATGACAATAAGTTTTTGATAATCTTCTAGATTGTGGCAACAGTTCTCTGTACAAGCAGACACATTCTGCTATACATCGCGTATCAGGACTCTCCTTCTGCCTCAGCCCAGACAGTCGGTTTAGTTAAGATCTGCTCTGTTTTCATCCAAATACTAGTGTTCTTGAAGACTGGAAATATGTCGTGCACAGCTCTAAAAATGCAGGGTGAAGAGCTACAACGCACAGCCAGAGCTTGGGCACGATCCTCACACCTTTGAGCGATCCACCAGTGCTGATTACACACTTGTTTTTAAAAGCCTCTCATTACAAGTAAATTTACACTCCTAAGCAGCAACTATCACAACCAAGTGGGACACAAAGTAACACATGCTTCTTCTTTTTACCCTGAATTCAGGACAATTTTCACAAAATAAAGCACATTTGCATGACCTGATCTGAAACTCTTACAAAAGCAAACACGCTAAGTCCAACTACAAACAATACATCACAAACATGATGCTGACATTAACCTTTTAATGCCATGAGATAGTTTTGTGCTGACACATACTGTTAGTAAGCAGTTCACAGTCCTAAGACTAAAAAATATAAATTTTTACATTTGTAGGTTTTCAATTTTTCTGTTTGGCTTTGAATTGTTAAATAAAATAAAATAAAACAATTTTCTTATAATTATTGTCTTAAAAGAATTCAAACATTTAAAAAATGATTTCATTAGTGAAATTAAGATGCATGTGACTCTCCATTTTCTTTTCACGGAGACTTCAGTAGCTATAAATGACCTTATTAGCATAATGTGTTCATGAGAATATAAATCACTGCTGAGACTCCCTGACAGGAGTGAAGTGAGTAGACTGTGCCTCTGTATGCCAGTGTGAGGGCAGTGAGCAGAGCTCTGTTCGACCTTGGAGCACACTGTACCTCATGCCTTTTGTGGAGAGATTATGGAAGTTCTGCAGCAGCTGCGGGACGCCCAGCATGGCCTCAAACATCACTGCCAGCGAACCCAAAGTCTCCACAAACATCACAGAGTCCAGCAGCAGCAGGGTGATGACTGCACACACAACGGTGAAGCCGAAGCAGAAGAGGAGGTAGTCCTCAAAGGCGCTCCACTTCCAGAAGTAATGCAAGTTCAGGTCTATAATCGGGAGATACAAA